TTATTTTTATAGTCATTTTAAGTTCAAATTTGGACGAAATTACATAAACCTAGAATAACTATTTTAGTTATTTTGTTGTGATTGTATAATACGTATTATTCGTGGGTACTTGATACTTCTAAAGTACACTATTATATATTTATGATAGTATCAGGGTTTGTTGTTGATGTACAACGCGTTATAAGTACCTAATGGATATTGTGATATGATGAATTTGGAATTTATTATAGGTACCTACCTATTATACGTCAATTTTTTTTAATACCATAGATAAGTATATAATATTTCTTATACCTAGACTGACATACCGACTGACTCAGAATCGTTTTCTTATACAATGATATTATATCATTGAATTCAAATTTAATACCATCCATTATACAGTGACCACTTGTAACCTACTGTACAGCAGAGCACCTTTTTTTCTATTGAAATAATTTTTTTATTTGTATTTATCCTATGTAAAAATGTAATGTATTAAATACCTACCCAATGGCATATTTAAATACCATGACTAACCGATATCTAATGGTACCTACTTCCTAGTGTAAGGAACCTTACCGAAAAAATTAATATACTTTTATCTATTTAAATTCGAACCAATTTGTTCCCAAAAATAAACTCTATAAAATGACTATCATCAATTGTTTTAAAAATAATAAAATAAAAATAATTTTTTTAAACTTTAAAAAAAAAAAAATTAAATATGTGTAGTCCTTGTCTCTGTGAGTAATAAAAAAAACCGATTCATGATATATTTTTTATCTCAGTAGATACCGCAATGGGTAAATTCTCGAGGGACATCCTATATTATACATATTATATACCCGATTATTATTATTATTATATTTTAATATACCTACCTCTATGTAAACAACGACATTTTCAAAATATTTATATTAATTTTAACCTATCCCCTATTTAGGTTTACAGGCTGACAGATCCACGGATCGATCCGAATTGTTTTTCGTATATTATTATTTAATGATTTATCATTGAGCATAAATTCAATTACAGTGACCTACTCAATGACAAGGTATACCTTAACCTAAGCTATATAGCGAAGTGTGTTTCTCGATTTTTAGTTTAAACTTTATAATATAAATGAACCTTTACATTTATTTTATTATAATATATATTGTAATAAAATATAAATATAAAATATATTATGCATTTTAATTTGTTATTTAACATTATAAATTATAATATATTATAGTAGGTTTCCTACCATAAACAACAAACATCTGTCATCATAATAGGTAATTCAATATTTTCACAACATGTGTTGTTATAGGGGCTGTGCCTCCCACGAATTTGTTCACTTATTGAAATGTATAAGCTTCAATAAAAAAATGTACTGATGGCACCCCCTCCCCCTTTAAATGCGTCCACAGTGAACTATAAAACATAATATCGCTTAATTTTACTACCTACTAAAGACACTAGTATTATATTATATTGTCGAAGTATTAGTACTAAAACGGATTTATTTAAATGTATTATTATTTATAATAGAATGTCTTTTTATTTTAATAAAATAATAGGTAGGTATAGGTAAATTAATATTGTAACGACTTACAAATTATCATCTACCTTAAACAGTTAAACCATAACTAGGAACTTGCTTATCTGATAATCCTGCAGATTATTAAAAATAATCAACATAATAGGTATCTCCTACATACATAACTAACTTTTTTTAGAAAATGTATTAGAAAAGCTAAAATATAACGAAACAAGTATAGACCTATACTAGCTATTCTAATAAATATTTTCTTCTAACAGATATTTTACATTTTTACAATAAGTTAACGTACGATACCTACCTACATTATTCCTTCCGTAGTTCCTTGTCATTTTGCCTAAATCCATCGATGTATCATGTATGTCGCCATGTCGGCATCATATAAATAAATAATAAATATATAATTTTATTTTGTTTTATTTTGTACACCAGTAAAGATAATAGGTACGTACTTAAAATTCTTTTGGATGTTTGATACCAAAGTAAAAATGTCAGCTAATGTAACTGATAATAATTATATATATATATATATATATATATTTGAATTTCTATCTACCTATAGAGTGTAGGAAATAGGTATATGCTACATTACCTATATACGCACGGAGACGGGTTTTAAACGTTCAATAAGTGGTTTGAAATCATTCTGAAGACAAACTCAAATACAATATAAATAATATATATATAAATACCTATACATGAATACATGAAATATGAATACAGAGATTATACATGGTAACCATGGAAACAGACCATAATAATATATAATACCCATAGCAATGTTTTCTTATAAAACACGATTTAGTCAATATGTTACAACTTACTTCTTCCTGTATAATTGTAATAATTGTACAAACAATCTTGTTTTAGTGCAAAGTTCCAATGTTATGTTGTATCATAGGAATAAAATGATAAATTATAAAATAAACCATAATGAGTCACGTATAATTGCATCTAAACATGTTCATATTTTAATTTTAATTTTTAATAAGCTAAAATATTAACTTCTATAGACTGACCGTCGGCTGGCTGTCTTTCATATTTCCCTGTATAGTATATAATATGTACATAAGTACCTACTATATTTTCATTACACTGAAACACTATACACACGAAAATTAACTGATTTGCATTTAAAATTCTTTAAATTTTTTATTAAGTTTGAATCAAGTAGGTTTTCATATATACCACCAAGTGGCTAATATACTGTACATATACATAATACTAATTTATTTGTACAATAATTGGATTTTACTGAGCTACCGTGAATATAAGCTAATTAAACTATGGGCGTTAAGATTAAGATATATTGTATAATAAGCGAAATTAATTTATTTTAGCATTCATAATTATAATTATATTTATGTAGGAGGCGCTCCTAAATTGAGAAAACTAGCTTTATTCCAATATTAATATTTAACAGTACCTACTATTAAAATGTAAATGTGAAACATTTAAAAATATACCTACATAATAAAATTCGCTGAAAAAATAAATCATATTATCAAAATAATGTTGACGTATCTATCAATAGTGAACAGCTTAAAACTATTGGTCCGATAGAAATTTGATAAATTAATTTCGAAAGTAGCTTATATTATACACACAATTTTAAAATGTATTAAATATGTGAAATGTTTATACCTTTAGCATGCATATGCCTGAACAGGCGTACATCTATATAGTCAATTAAAAGCGAGTCGATAATTTCGCTAATTTTTAAATAACTGCAATAGAATTTCAGTATATAGTATAAGTTATTACCACATAAAAACAAACGGTGAATAAGACATACATTTTTCTGGCTTCTATCCATATTTTGAATTGTGTACCTACTGTATATAGAACTATCAATCTCAATAATATTGTTTAATGTAACTGTTCGACGATTTTAACAAAAATCAAATAGAAATATTTATTAAAATCTCATTAATAGATAGATATTTTGTACGAAAATTATGTTTCAAATACCTAAATCACTAGGTATAAAAACATCACTATACCAATATAATAATATTGGGCAAAAATGTGAAATTTATATTATAATATAAATATGTATTATATTATCATTTACAAATATAAATGGAAATTGTTATTTGATTTTACATTTTAAATAATAATGTACTCACAAATAGCCAATAGGATAATAAAAAATTAAATAAATTCGTTTCGTAAAGTGCAACTAGTGCAAGTATAAAAATTTGAAACGTGTCCATTTAGTCATCATTATTGAGGTGCAAAACTGGTTCTACAAGTATGCGTATTATAAATGTATGTTATAACCAATACGGAAAAGAACAATATTCAACAAATATACATATACCTACTAATATAATAACAGTTTTTAATTTTTATACAATTTAGTGTTAACAAAATATCATCAATTCACGACGTATCTATCTGTCGATCATATTATAATGTGCACAGAAACTCAAATTTTACGTAGAAGTATTATGAGTGAAAAGCTCGGTCTGGTTATGAGGATATTCACCAAATATTAAATTTAAAAACATTAAAATATAGGAAGATTATTCTTATCTTCACATTTTTTAAAAAACTATTACTATCTATTTGAGAAAAAATGATCATTTCTTCCTTTTTAGTCTAATTAACTTTAAAATAAATCCTTACAATTTGCTAGGTAAAGTTTTTTTCTATATCCCACAATTTTCCTGACATTATTTAACATACATTTTTATAATGCAATCGGCCGGTAACACATTTTGTAACGATAATTTGTTTGTTAGATAGCTAGATAACGTTTTTTTTGTTTTGCATTCTTATTAATAATATTAAATGTACAATAATTTATTGTTATATATATATTTTTTGTTTTATTGTTATAATATTATATATATTATATATATTGTTATCATTAATGTAAATATGACTTATGTCCGTTTTACAAATAAATTATAGAGCAGATAGGATGAAGAGAGTACATAACATATTAAGAACTTATTTACAAACGTATGTGGTGTGTAAGCTACACAATATACCTATCGACGTTTTAGTCGGTGGAAAGAAAAAACTGTAAATCTTTCGAGAAAAACCTTATTGCAGTGTGCTAGTGCATCATGCAATTATTACGCATACGGGAAGTAGGAAAGTTTAAAATGAACGAAATCGCCTAAATGACGCGTACCTACGCCGGGCGGGATTAGTCATCGTCGGGCGATAAAAATTCGATATATTGGCACGGATGTGTTTGATTAAAAGTATCGTAATTCCGTGGATCTTCGGTGGATGACGTGGAGGGCGGCGAGCGGGCGTCGCCAATCGCCATTATCATCCGTGCTCGCGTGTCCGCTGTACGGTCTACAGGGTGTTTGAAATGAATCGGACGCGCGCACCACTATCGCGTCTAGAGTCTAGACGACACGTCATTGCACCGCCACTACGCACCGCCCCGACGACGATTGCGACTTGCGAGTGTTCATGAACGAGCGGGGGGCGAAGCGGGGGTAAAACGTCTCTACGGCGGCGGCGACTGCTGATACCGTTCGCGGTTTGGAATGCGTTCGGCCGCGGTCGCCGGCTTGTGCCGGGTCTCGACCAATCGCGCGGTGCTGTTCGTTTTATGCCCATATAAGGTAATGCCACGGGACGGGCGGAAGATAGCGGTGCATCGGGCGAGTCCATCGGACGCCGGCGCCGTAGCCGGGGCAGCGTACCACGGTCGGCGTGCACTGTGCACCACCCGTCCCCGGCCCATCGGCGCGCACCGTTACCGATCCCACCGAATCGACGGCAATGGATTTGTCCGGCAGGATGCACACCGGCCCCGGACCGTTCGGCCACTTTACGAAAAACTTCCGTAACCGCTCGCCGCTGAAACGCGAATTCGTTTTCAACAGCTCCACCAGCCAAAACGGTCGTCAATTTCTTTTTCAAAGGTAAATATAATAGATTATTTATTGTTTTTTATTATTTTTCCAAACGTACTTTCCCGTATCGTGTCTACGAGGTTATTTTTTTTTACCGTGTTTTGGGGGATAACCAATCACCAAAACGGTTGGAAAATCCTTCTAATCCTTCGCCGGTCGACGCCCTCGCTTAATACCCTCTATAGTTTTTCTACGTACGAATTTCGTATAATTGTATAACATTGGTACGATGTAGAGAAGTATCTTCTCTACATCGTGAACATTGGTAACGAATAACGATATTATTATCATCTAAAGATTAAAATCCACCGTCAGTAGGACTTAGTATCGACGTTTGTTTTTGTCCACTACGAGTGTTTTGAGAGATAATGAAGAATTTCCTATTGTTTAAGATATTAACGTGGATTAATATTGCTATATATTTATTTATATGTAGGTTCAGTAATTTATTATAACGATATTAATTTATGCCAAATTCGAAGGGGTGGGGTGTCGTTGCGGCGAGTGTAATAGTAACAGTTTTTACTTGGCTACTCGTCGTTTCTCACGGTTTTCCAACTACAAATGTTATATTCCGGTTACCGTTTATTTATATAATATATTCTCGTGTACACACCCGGTGCTGCGTTTAACAGCCCTTTTGCGTTCGGTAGTGGTGGTGCGGTGTATGGGCGAGGGGGGAAGTAGGGAAGGAAGTGGGGTTGATGACGACAACGATGACGACGTGGTAGTTGCCGGTAGCGAAGGGCGGGGTCCATGGGAAGGAGTATCACATCAACCGTACCATTAAGTGAGAGGAAGGCTACTTATACCGGTGTCGGTACTCTCACAAGACCAGTTTTGTTCGGTGATCGACTCGTTCGCTATCGACGTGCGGCTTTAATATTTTTTCACTTTTAAAAGTTTTAAATCGAATTTAAACTTTACGTTTTCACATTTTTCGTCGTTCGAACTATAGTTACTCCGTGTTCCAAACTCTTGGAATTTCTACTTTTATTTCTGGTACGTGCCATGTTTAAGTACCATTATTATCTCCGTCCGATTGGTTTAACCCATTATTATCGCGTGTTCTAGTTGGGTTTTTTACATTTTATTTTCATACGGCTTTTGCATTCTCTTGTTTCGATTTTTCTAAACCGACATTGTGGTGGTGATTATTTTTGTGTGGAATTTTACGTAATTCTAACGGTTTATTATATCTTTTCAAATTAATAAATAAAGATATGTTATAATTTTCCATTAACTATCTATCGTATTTAATTTAAAAGTGTATTATTTTATTACTTTTTTTATAATCTCTTTAAATTTGTATTTTATGAGCTTGTAGATTAAAGCCATTGGGATGTTATTAACAGTCACCAATTAAATTTAATATCTTTTTTTAAGTGTCATTGAATTCATGATAAACTATTTCAAATTTCCGTTTTCTCATTATAATTTATGGCAAATGATTAACAGCATTATTACATTATAGTTGTACAACAGTTTTAAATTTATGATACCTACTATAGTTAGTTAAATAAAATATTTTTTTAATAGTAGGTACCACAGTCATTTTGATACTAGAATTGAACTGGTAACTTAGTAGTATCTAATTCTTATAATTGTAAATTTGTGCTTTTTTTTATACTTTTAGTAATTTTACTATTTAGATCATAGTCTTATCAATTTATTAGGTTAATTAATAGTTAATTTATTGTCTACAATATTTATAAAAAAGTGATTAGTAAATATTTACTTTTGTTTATACTTGGTTATAAATTTATGAAAGTTCTACATTTATTTATTTTTTTGTTACAGTTTAAATAAATTAAAAACTAATTCAATATGTGTGACGAAGAAGTAGCCGCATTGGTTGTAGACAATGGATCCGGTATGTGCAAAGCCGGTTTTGCCGGAGATGATGCACCTCGTGCCGTATTCCCATCAATTGTTGGACGTCCCCGTCATCAGGTAAATATTTTAATTTTTAAGCTTATGCCATTCAAATATTAACTTATTATTTTTATTATTAGGGAGTCATGGTCGGTATGGGACAAAAAGACAGCTATGTAGGAGATGAAGCCCAATCCAAAAGAGGTATCCTTACCTTGAAATACCCCATTGAACACGGTATTGTTACCAACTGGGACGATATGGAAAAAATTTGGCATCATACATTCTACAATGAATTGCGTGTAGCCCCAGAAGAACACCCAGTATTACTAACAGAAGCCCCATTGAACCCCAAGGCTAATCGTGAAAAGATGACACAAGTAAATATTTATCTTAATTTGAAAATAAATTATTGTCAAACACAAAATACTTAATAGTTTGCTAACCACATGTTTTGTCTACAGATCATGTTTGAGACATTCAACACCCCTGCTATGTATGTTGCTATCCAAGCTGTACTTTCATTGTATGCTTCTGGTCGTACCACTGGTATCGTCTTGGATTCTGGTGATGGTGTATCTCACACTGTCCCAATCTATGAAGGTTACGCTTTACCTCATGCTATCCTTCGTCTCGATCTTGCTGGCCGTGATCTCACTGACTACCTTATGAAAATCTTAACCGAACGTGGTTACAGTTTCACCACCACTGCTGAACGAGAAATTGTTCGTGATATCAAGGAGAAATTGTGCTATGTTGCTCTGGACTTCGAACAAGAAATGGCTACTGCTGCTTCATCCAGCTCATTGGAGAAATCCTATGAATTGCCCGATGGACAAGTTATCACAATCGGAAATGAAAGGTAGTTTTTATACCAAATATATTTGTTTTGTATTCGTTATTTGCAAATGATTTCTAATAGTTATATTTTATTTCTAGATTCCGTTGCCCAGAAGCTCTATTCCAACCTTCCTTCTTGGGAATGGAGGCATGTGGTATCCACGAGACTACATACAACTCCATCATGAAGTGCGATGTAGATATCCGTAAGGACTTGTACGCCAACACTGTATTGTCTGGAGGTACCACCATGTACCCTGGTATTGCCGACAGAATGCAGAAAGAAATTACTGCTTTGGCCCCATCTACAATGAAAATCAAGATAATTGCTCCACCTGAGCGAAAATACTCCGTATGGATTGGAGGATCCATCTTGGCTTCTCTATCTACCTTCCAACAGATGTGGATCTCCAAACAGGAGTACGACGAATCAGGCCCATCCATTGTGCACAGAAAGTGCTTCTAAATACTTTTATATTTATTTTCCTAAAAAACTGTATTTTTTATTTAAATTTTCCTGTATTTTTTATTTAAATAAGAATCAAAATTATAAAAAAAAATCCGATGCATTAGGCCTACATTCCAGTAAGTTATTTACAGCTCAAAGCATTCCTTTATCATAGCACGTCTGCTTTTGATTTATAATTTTTTTATACTGACTGAATGAAAAGAGAATATAATTAAATGTATTTATTTGATAATTATTTACTTATATGGAATTTTTTTTAGACATTCCTAAATATCCAAAGTTGTCTTATAGGCAAAAATATTAGGATTATAATTTTATTAAATTCTCTCTAAAAATATTTGAAAAATAAATGTTTGTAATTTATTATACATGTCATTTTGTCTATTGGTTTTCTAAATTGTCTTAAATCAATTACCTGCATCCTTATTAGCTTTAAGTCTAAAAGTGTGTGAATGACATAATATCCTGAGTCTTAAGTTATGTTGTTAAAATGTCCTTCCTGCTATAACTAGTGTCGACTACAATCAATTGATATTTGAGTGAAAATTTATTGAGAAACCCTTAGCTGGCATGTTCAGTCACAATTTTTTCTGTCCTGCACACATTGAATATAGTAAATTTAAACCTCCGTATTTCACTCTGGATAATATTATTTATAATCATTATAAATAATATTTGTGTGTGTAAGATGTTATTTCAAATATTTTGATTTTAAGAAAATTCCTCATTATCGTACTTCATTGTTTTGTTATTTATATTAAGTTACTTTAAAAAAAGAAATTTAATTAAGTTTCGAACAGTTATAATGTTATTCCTTATAATCTTGTTATAAATATCTTAATTTTAACTAGTGAAGTATGGTCAATGGATACTGAGTTAAATACGGGAAGAAGTTTAAACTAAGAAAAAATGATACTGGTTAGTGCTTTCCCTTGTATTAAATCTTAAACACTCAATACTTTCGGATGTTAATTATTTGATTGATAAATTCTTATCATTTCTGTACAGGCGTACAGCACTATTCTAGTCGGCAGTCTTAGAGATGAGAGGCAAATTTAATTCTAGCTTACGAATTACGAATTTATTTTGTTGCCCACAAGACTGTGTATCTAATAAATAATTTATTAAAGCTAAACAGTTATACTGTACTTACTACATATAAATATATTTATATTGACATTTTTTTAAATATTATTAGAATTGGTTATTTTATCTATTTTGTCATTCAATCGCAAACATATACTTTACCGACAAAATCAGTATTTACTAAGTATTGGGTTATTTTCTAACAAAATCTTGTTGCTGTTACACTTTCTATGATTGGACAAATGTTATTGATATACTTTCCAACATTACAGAATACATTAATTCCGAGAGAAGCGATTACTCTATATGGTATAAACAAGTAACAACTGTCTATTCTAATATAATTGTTGAGCTTATAATATTGTTTTCCCGAACTTTTAGATAATATTTGACTATTATTGGGATTAACATCAAGACCGTAATTGGAGGGGGTCCAGGGTGTTTCGGACTATAAGTAGAAACATTTTAGTAGTGAATATAGTTTATTTACTATAATTGTATTAAGAAGAATTTTATATTCGTTAAAGCAGTAATTTGAAATATGATAATAAAATGTATAAATTATCATTTTATTTTATTTCAACGTTGTAATAAAGATTAGGATTAATAGGTAAGATTAACTGGATAGGTATTGTCGAAACATAATAATCGAATTTAGGGTGAG